CTTCTGCACCTGCTACCTGGCGGCCCACCTCACCAACAAGGTGCGCGGGGGGTGGGGGGGGCCCGGGGAGAGCCGGGCCTGGGGGTCGGGGAGCCGGGGGGTCGGGGGTGGGAGAGCCGGGCCCGGGGGTCGGGGAGCCGGTGGGCCGCGGGTGGGAGAGCCGGGCCTCCCTGACGGCGGTGGGAAGCGCCGGGGCGCTCGGCAGGGACGCGATGGCGGGACCGTCCTCCCCGCCCCGAGGCTGCTTCGGAGCCGGCGCCGGGATTGGCGACCTCGCAGGCGCCGAGTGAGGGCGGGCCGAGCTCCGAGCGGGGGAAGCGGGGGAAGCGGGGGCCCCGGCCCGGGATGGAGGGGAAGAGTGGGGACCCCTCGCCTTCTCCCTAACCCGCCGCCCGGAGCCCCGATGCGGAGCCTCAGGGAAGCGATGGTCCGCCTCCGTCTCCCCGCGGATTCCGGACCCGTTAGAAGACGGGCCCGTCCTGGCCCTCGGGGCGCCCGGAGTGTCCGGGATGGCGTTTTAGGAGTAAACTGTCTGCAGGCGGGTCCTGGGCCTTCGGAGGAAGCGGCGGGAAAGCCCTGGCACCTGCTCTGCAGGCGGCGACCTCCGGGCTTGGTGCCCGCCGGGAAGGTGGCCGCGGGGCTCCCCGGGACCGAGCTCAGTCCCCAGCAGGGTCATGCAGGGGGCAGCCCATCGATGTTTCTCTCTCACATTTAGTTTCTCTCCCTTCCTCTCTAAAATCAATAAAAACATTATTTTAAAAAGGAGTTGTGGGGAGCCGATGGGAGACCCCGGCAGGGGTGGGTGAGATGGTTGTTCGTAGGGGACTCTGGTAGGGACTTAGTAACACGGGTGATGCTCTTGCTTCTTCTCGGCCAGGACCCTTCCTGTGGCAGCCACGGGGGTGGGTTGGACCACACAAGGGCCCAGTGGGAGAGGGGCTGTGCCGGGGCGTCCGGCGTGAGCTGCTGCATCCGGTCTCTGCCAAAGGATTCTCTTCAATAGTGAAGTCCTCTTGTGTCCATGGAGAGGATCTTTTCCTCAGGTTTTTAGAACACTCTGTGCCAGTGATGGCGAACCTTCTGAGCTCGGCGTGTCAGCGTTTTGAAAAACCCTAATTTAACTCTGGTGCCGTGTCACACATAGAACTTTTTTGATATTTGCAACCATAGTAAAACAAAGACTTATATTTTTGATATTTATTTTACATATTTAAATGCCATTTAACAAAGAAAAATCAACCAAAAAAATGAGTTCGCGTGTCACCTCTGACACGCGTGTCATAGGTTCGCCATCACTGCTCTATGCTAATTTCTTTTTTTTTTTCTTTATTATTATTTTTTTTAATATTTTTTTATTTTTCGCTTAAAGTATTACAAAGGGTATTACATAAGTGTCCTTTTTTTCCCCCCCCGCCCTTGACACACCCCTACCCTCCCTTCCCCCCCAGTGTCTTATGTCCATTAGTTATGCTTATATGCATGCATACAAGTCCTTCGGTTGATCTCTTACTCCCCTCCCTCCTGCCCCCCAACTCTCTCTGGCCTTCCCACTGCAGTTTGGCAATCAGTTTGAGGCAGCTCTGCCTCTGTATCTATTATTGTTCAAAAGTTTGTAATGGTCTTTATTATCCATGAATGAGTGAGATCATGTGGTATTTTTCCTTCATTGACTGGCTTGTTTCACTTAGCATAATGCTCTCCAGTTCCATCCATGATGTTGCAAATGGTAGGAGTTCCTTCTTTTTAACAGCAGCATAGTATTCCATCGTGTAGATGTACCACAGTTTTCTAATCCATTCATCTACTGATGGGCACTTAGGCTGTTTCCAGATCTTAGCTATGGTGAATTGTGCTGCTACGAACATCTGGTTACATATATCCTTTCTGATAGGTGTTTCTGGTTTCTTGGGATATATTCCTAGTAGTGGGATCACAGGGTCAAATGGGAGTTCCATTTCCAATTTTTTGAGGAACCTCCATACTGCCTTCCATAGTGGCTGCACCAGTCTGCATTCCCACCAGCAGTGCACAAGTGTTCCTTTTTCTCCACATCCTCTCCAGCACTTGTCGTTTGTTGATTTGTTGATGATGGCCATTCTGACAGGTGTGAGATGGTACCTCATTGTTGTTTTGATTTGCATCTCTCGGATGATTAGTGACTTTGAGCATGTTTTCATATGTCTCTTGGCTTTCTGAATGTCCTCTTTTGAAAGGTGTCTATTTAGATCCTTTGCCCATTTTTTGATTGGATTGTTTATCTTCTTTTTGTTAAGTTGTATGAGTTCCCTATAAATTTTGGAGATTAAGCCCTTATCAGATATGACGTTGGCAAATATGTTTTCCCAAGAGGTGGGTTTTCTTGTTGTTTTGTTGATGGTTTCTTTTGCTGTGCAGAAGCTTTTTATTTTGATGTAGTCCCATTTGTTCAGTTTCTCTTTAGTTTCAACTGCCCTAGGAGCTGTATCAGTGAAGAAATTGTTTTGGCATAAGTCTGAGATT